TCAGTCAGTCCATCAATCAATTTATTGATTGGTTATCTACTTGTTTCAGCTAGTTACTTCGTTACTTGGTGATTAACTTAGAAGTAGGACATATTATGACAGTTTTTCACCCGCTTCTTTTCTCCGCTCCCCATCTTTGGCCTTGCGCCTTAATAAAGAAATGAAGGGTTCAGACCACTTACCGTAACCTCAGAATCCAGCTGACTGAGTTTATTCCGGTATCGCTCGATTAGCAAGTCCTTCGTATTAGTCTCGTCCTTAAGCGCCACCATCTTGCTGTCCAGTAAAGTCTGCAAACTTTTGAATTGAACTCGATCAGCTTTGGAGTCAAGCTTGGCTGTCAGTTGGTCGATCTCGGCTTTCTGTCGTTGTATTGTCTTTTCATAGGATGTTATTTGTCGCTCCATGTCGGAGAGTTTGACGGAGAACGACATCAAAGCTGCTAAGGCAGAACTTTGTGGGGCCTGTCGCTGCAAAAAAAAAAAAAAGGCAGATAAATATTTAATAGTAATAATAATAATAATAATAATAATAATAATAAAGTAAAATTAAAATAGGAGAGAAAGGGAAATCAATGATGCCGAGTAAAGGTTTACTCCTCTTTGGCCATATCTCTCAAACTGCCTTTAACCATGACTTTGGTGTTCGTCTGACCACAAAAACTGATGCTTTTAAAAGTTAATTATAAATCGAAAAAATCCAAAAATCCAAAAAGAGTTTAAAATGCTAGAGTCAGCCAGCCGACCCAAACCTCCATCCGCTTCTATCGCGCTGTTTACTATCGCGTTTCGTTTTACTAACTGACCGCTTGGAACATGCTAACCTAACAGGGGAGGTGAAGGGAATTGACCGTGTAGCCAGAAATGATTGTTAGGAAAGGGCATCGCTTGTTGTCCCATGTTTTATCGGTAAAGTTAACTCATGATACTGCCTGGTACCTCTCTAGAATACCTCTATGTATTACGAAAACCATGCAATGTTGTTAAAAGTCAATGAAAGGTTTATTGTCGTAAAGAATCGTGTTGCTGCACTAGTGATGTCTTTTCCTCGGATATCCACTCTTACCTTCAATCGTAGCTTTCCTCTCGGCATCCCAACTGAGTGTTCAAAGATGTTTAAGGGTAGAAGAAACAGCAACAAAGCTGCGAAATTCGTCATCATCGCCAGTCAAGTCTTCAACAACAACAATAGCGTTTTGTGTGCGCCTTGTCGAGAGAAATCCTATCTTTGACAGACTCAGCTGATGACAGAAGAGGGTTGATTAAGTCAGCCGGTAATAAGATAATGGTGGACTGGACATTCGGCGTGACCGGAATGATGCTCATGATGGTGATACATCGACTTTCGTCCCTGCTTTGAGAATCAACCTCGAGAGAAAACGGTCTTCTCGTCTCTATGAGAATCGTTAGTTAGGGCCACAATATTAAATAGCCTGGTCATTTTGAAATGGCGTCTGTCACGTAATAGGACGTGTAATAGCAACAAATACCAAGTCGATACTTGTTACAGATAACACGGGTGGCAAAAACGATGGGATGATCAGCGAGTGCTTTGATGGATCTGCATGACCCTGTTTTACCACTTGATCAATTTTCGAGTAGTCCATTGAGAAATGTTTTAGCCCGAAATTTAATGATTCTTATTATACATAAAAAAATAACTGATATAGTGAGCTCTCAAGGACTGTATGTAGCTCCTTGAACGTATTCATGGAATAACAGCCCGCTAACAAAGACATGAAAATAATCTGGGAAGTCTTACATCTACAGGAGACCGCAATTGAAGGATATTTGTCTTCTTGGGATCCTGTTGTTATAAGCGTTCTTGAGGTTGCCCCAACAAGAAGAATCCAGCGTCCTCTGAACCAAGAGTGTTCGTTTCTCATTGTCTCTCCGAAAGATCAAGTTACAAGAAAACAAACCGGTCTTTGTGTGCCAGTTATGTTTTCGAAGATGGCGTTGTCACGTACAATCATATTTGCCCTGCTTTCTATGCAGTTCCATTTTGTCTTTACAGACGGGCATGAGAAGCCAATGGAAAGAAATCGATTGAAGGTAAATTTATGCACCCAAATTACCTTCTACTGATGTGATAAAGACATATTCACGTTAGAAATTGACAATTTGTGCTTCGTTTCAAGGCTCAGTCATACTGGTTTAAAATTCCACGTAACGGCTGTGTTATTCACGAGATATCAACGTTTGTTTTAGAGACAAAGAGTAGATGGAAAGTTCCACGAGAAATAAGGGAACGCATGCTTTCTCTTTAGGCCGGAACGGTTGAGATAATTGTTCCAGATACTAAACAACTAAAATTTGAGTTTGCATGGTCAAGTAAATCGTGAGTAACAGAAGGATTTATCGGTGGGGTGAAGGAAGGGGGGAGGGAGGGGGGGTGGGAATCGGTCCTCAATCGAGCCGTGCCATGCCTGAGTACATCACGAGGGAGTGAGGCTCACTGCTACCTTTTAATTCGGGAAGGCGATTCAGTAGGCTGTACTTGTAAATATCTCGAGGGAGGATTCAAAATTAAAAAAGGGGGCATGTGCGTATCAATATGCAGTAACAGGAGTTTGTTATCATAATTATGGGCTCCTGATAAGAATAAATTTTCAGGTGTTGACCTGACTTCCCAGTTATAGCGTTCTCTTCTCCTCTGTCTCCAACCAACCCTCTCCCCCTTTATTTTAGAGGCAAAGAGAGACTAGAAGATAAGACAGGGAAATATTTCACTCGCTCTGAATTATGACATAATGATCTAATGCGCAGTCGATGAGAAGTAGAAAGCCAGTAGTCCTCAACTCCCCTCCTTCACTGTCTAGGAAAAAACATGTGAAAATAAAACATTAGAAGAGGTTCCCCCTCCCCCGGATAACTGTTACCTTCGGATGATGATCTCTCACACTCTTTCTAGAGAGCCCTCAGCGATGATGATATCATACTTGGTCTTAAAATGTACGAAACGAAAATGGCCGGTTTGCAGAGAAGAATCGCACAGCAACTGGCAAGCATGAAGAAACAAAAAAGTCGGATCAACTTTATCAAGTTTTATATGAAAAGAAAAGGGGACGACTACGAGAAGGAAGACCTGGAGGGAAATATTATAGCTGATACTGAAAAGGGCAAACAGAATCTACAGCTCGCATCACTTGACAACCTGGTGAAGGAAGCAGATCATCAGGAGGAGCGACAACGGGTGAGTGACAGGTATCATTTAGCCTAGGTGACAGTTCAAGTTCAAAGTTCTGTAAGCTTGTAATGCGTGTCGGGAATATCGCTTCTAGTACGCCAGGTCAAGCCTTCATTATAAATTTCTGCGTAAAACAGATTTTTTTTTAAAGCGATAAAGATTGTGATTTAAAAAAAAACTAATTTGTTTGTTTATATATCAAAGTGTTAAGATACTTTGTAGAAACAGCTATACGTAAAAAAATATATTTGAAATGTAATTTATCCTTAAGTCTGAAAATGAACCTCGAGCTTGTAGGAAATCCAAACATTTCAAAACTTCTTCTTTAATTTTCGTCTCTTATATTGGTGGAAGTCTTTCAGGTATTGATAATTATGACTGAGTCGTTCTAAAGGAAAATAAAACCCGAGATTAAACAAGGGTGGAAAGCCAATATTGTAAAATATTATTAAAAGTGGCCACGTATGCAAGTTTAAGGGCATATATGTACATAGCTGCAAAGACAGGGGGGAATTTTCTGTGGAGAAAAATGATGCATACGAGACTGCCTGCACTACCATTGTTCTTTCTCGAATACCACCTCATTCCTTGGGAAATCATTACTACTTCCTATCAGACAAAATAAAGAACTGAATAAATAGATGAATGAATTAAATGAAAGATTTTAAATTTTAGGCGACTTTAAGATGGCATAATTCAAACCTATAACGTACTTAGTTAAAACAAAAAAGATGCCCACCGATTATCGTTTTCCTATTGCTTACAGGGTACCACTCGGGAGATTTCGTACCAATACTTACAGTGTGCCCCCTTAGGGGTTCTGACAGAGAGATACATGACGCTTCAGACTAAAATTTTAATTCTTGGTCTATATTCGCTGCTGAAATTTCCATTTTGTTTCCATTTGCCATCAGGGACTCTTGGAAGAACTTAAGAAAGAAAACACCGTTATGAGTGACATTCACAAGCGCGTGCTGGATAATAACGCGATCTGCCGTGACACATACACTGAATGGAAAGACGTGGGTAGTGGTACGATCAGAGAACTCTCCAAGCAGTACGTGAAATGCAATGAAGACGAGCTTTTGCTCCGATTTTATTTGCAGAAGAAGTCCACAGCTGCTAAGAAAATCAGATATAAATATCGATGTTGTCGATTTAGTTTGAAAGATAAATGGCAAAGGCCAGACGACATGTGAAGTCACCTAGTTCTTGAATGGAAGAACTCTGCATTTAGCTCTGATTAATCATAGCTTACTGACACTTTGTACCTCCTGATTTTGCCATAACTATTTTGGACTAGCGTTGAGAGCAACGAAAAACTTACCTTCATTTGTTTATTTTTCCTGGAATCCTTAAATCGGAGATAAAATTAAATCGTAGATGAATTAGATTTGGTTTTTTTTTTCATCAGACTAATCACTTTTTCGTGAAAGTGACCCTGTCTTTTTTCCCCTATGTTCGGTGGCCGATTTGACTCTCATAAATCCTCGCAAAAATAATTTACCCCTGAAATATAAATACTGAGTACTCCAAGAAACCTTGACGGAAGACTGCCCGACCTTGTTAGCATATATCGAACGTGAATAAATTAGAGTCAGCAAGAGAATGTTAAAGTCGAAGACATGCACAAAGAGCACAGTTATCAACTGTAAAGAGCCCACATCAGCTTTTACGTGTTTTGTGGGCATCACACAACTTTGTGTGAAGGAACTAGGGGGTTCTTCGTCTTTTTTATTTATTTCTTTTTTTTCTTTTTTTTTTTGTTTCGTTCTTGCTTCGGATGGGCTCAGAAAATGTAAGTTAACAATTTACAGCTGATTAAAAGAAATTTTTGATTTCCCTAAATTAAAATGATTTTACTCAATTATTTCCCCAAATCAAGAACTATGTAGTCAAACTTGGGTCATGAACACACAAACATGTTTTCTTTCATGAAAATGCAGGGATGAATTGTGAAATGCACTGAAATCCGTCAAACAAAAGGAATGAACATATGCTGAACATACGAACTTTGTTATCAGCTGCAAACGTGTGGGATCGTCTAGACATGACTCTCCTGTCTCAATTGCATTTCAAAATTCACTCTGCTCGCGAAGCGTAGAACATAATTGACCAACTCGGCGATGTTGGAGTTTTTTTTTCTTTTTTTTTTAATCTCTCCATTGAAAGTTGTGCCCAAAAAATATCATATATTTAAGCACTTTCTATAGGTTTACCGATGTTAGGAGGACGCTCGAAAAGTTTATAAATCACGAGCCGATTTGCTATTTTAAAATAAACTTAATTTCTCTTAATTTTCTATGGGTTTAGTGCGATTAACGATAAGGTTTTTTAACCAATCAGGGCGTTGGTAGCATCTCTGTCATTCTAAGAACATCTGGCAACCTTGTTAATGATAAGATTGTTTTATATAAACAGTTAGGTTCAAATTTTTACATGAACCTTACAGTGACTTCCAATGATAGTCAATTAGCACATTTAACGTCATATCAAAGCTATCGCAATTCATAAATGTGTATATTTAGTCAGTGATACACCGTGTTGAGGAAAAAAATCATCGTGAACAGTCATATTCTCTTGGAATATTACATGCAGACAGTATGTTCAATGTAGCATTTTCTCATTCATTTAGTAGAATATTTCGTCTGCTCTCCTTTCGTGATTTGTAATCGTTAGAAAACAAACTTCAATTAGTATAAAATAATAGGAATAATGAATGAGACACCCGGTAATACTGATGACGTAAAGGGTAAGTTTTATTTAACCAAGAATAAAATTTTTTTAGCCTAATTTTTTCCGCTTTCGAAATGAGCCATTCAACTCAGGCTATCATACAGAGGTTGATCGATGATCTGTGATTTGCGACCGCTTGATTTCGCGGGATTTGTATTTTGAATTAGGTTATTATAAGGACGATTTAGTCGGAAATTCCGTAAATCAAGGTAAGGTTTTTTCAGAGTGGTTTATAAAAATTTAAACGGTAACTACACAGAAATTGTCTCTGGTGCCTATGATTTCGACGGAGAATTTACCAAGAATGACGTATTCCTACCATTAGAGCGTAATATAGCCGTGCGTTCGGTGAAAGGAGAGAAAGAGCCAGTGTTACAATTACACAGCACATCTGTATTTGCAAGCATTTCCTTGTGTTCGTGAGTGAAGTGTCTTAAATTCTTGGATTATAAGGGAAAAAATTGAATCAAGACAGAGCATCGAGGCGGACTCCAACAGTAATTTATGATATTTTCGATTTTTTTTAACTACCTCCGTAAATGCTTGTTCAGCTCGTCTGATTATGACATGAACTGATTCAACGGCTTTGATTGAGAAAACTTAGTTCGAGGGCGGCATAACTCATATCATATTTTGATCATTTTTTGTTTATCAAATATTTCGCTGATTATGCAATCTTTCCTTGAGTCGATCTTAACAACACCTGACTGTTTATTTTCCTATGTCTTGGTTTAAACCGCAATAAAGAGAGTAAGTCACTCGAAGTCGAAGAAAAAAAAGAAAAACAAAAAATAAAAAGAAGAGTGACTTTAGATCTGGGAATTGGAATTCTAGATAAAGGTTACAACGAAATTCTTCTAGCAAGAGATTGTAATATCTTACTTCTAGCCAGCACGGTTCAAAATAGTCACCTACTAGCAAATTTTTTCAGAATTAGCCTTTGAAACTGTGAATTTTCTTTTAATTTAAGTTTTTTTTTCTATTCCTTTTAAACATCGTAATTCCTATCTTCGTTAATTTCCTGCATCCAGTTGGAAACTGTAGAACTTAGCTGATTTTAAGCGATCTACTTGGCCTCTTTCAGTTTAGATACGTAATTGAAACGCGTTCCTTCATAGAATATTTAATGTCTTCTAAATGGCTAGGAAAATATTATCTTTTTAAAATTTGTTTGGAAAGATCGGAACGGCTAATTGCTTGATGTATCTTATGTTTAAAATAACAACACGAAAACAGTGCATATTCAAATTATCTTGAAGAAAGAAAACATGAATTTGAATTTTCGCCCACTTCTGAAAGGAACAAATTGCAGGTCGCCCTTAGGCGCCATCACTATAGTGGTGAACGCATGTCTCGATTAGAAGTGTAGATATCCATGTTATGTCCTTTGATGGCTTAAATACGTTGGACTGTTGATTATAATAGTTATTTCTTACTTCTAGGCTTTCGTTTACATCAGAGCTTACTGTACTCTTTCAATGAATGGCGCGTACAACACGAACAATATTACGTCCACCAACGAGTCAAGAGGTAAGATATGACATAGGAGAGATTAAGTGTTTGCGAAAAATGACAAAAGGCAAAAACGATGGCATTAAATGCCAGACTGGGGTTAAAATATTTGTATTTCCTATGAAAGAGCTAATTTCCCAATAGTTTTCTACTCCTGTAGAGCAATCTGAGGAGTATGGGAAAATTGAGGAAGAATTTACTCCGCTTTTCGACATTGGTGAATTGTATCTTCAATATCACGGTTCTTGCAAAATTATGATAGTTATCGATCTCGACATCTCATAAGCCATTGCGAGGAGTCTTTAGTCTCGGTGGCAACTAGCTCTTCCTTATTGTCAGTCTTATATTTCAAACATGAGATATCTCGCGAGTCCTAGATTTTACCATTCGCCACCTTCTCTCGCGCGGTTTGCCGTTTTCTGTAAAACGTCATATTGATTTAAAATTAATTTTTATAATTTCACCTATTTTCTCGCTCTATTGAGGCTATGCATTACGTAATGAGGCCCAATATTAATTCCGATCCGCTGTTTTTTCCATTATCTGCCCCATAGTGGCTCAATCAATCAGCTGAACATCAATATTATTTTGAACAATAGCTCGTCGGTTTTCCGCCAAAAGGATTAAAGATATCCAAACCTTTTCTGGTTGAGAGGATAAATTGTGTATTCTCATTGTAAATGTATATCTTGACCAATAACTAACTAAATAAATAAATGAATAAATAAATAGATATTTTTATTGTTGTCTTACATTTAAGATTTTCGTGACACGTTTTCGATGTTAGTATAAACCAACTGAGTTTTATCATTGTAGTCAAAGCTTAATAGAACACATCAAGGTTTGTGGTGATTGCGGGCAAAAGAAAATTTGTATACCTCGGCAGAGAAAATGTCATATTATGAAGCCCGCCCTGCTCCTTGCACAATATTTTGCTGCTGCAGGCAACAAGCCAGTTTACTATAAAGGGTAGTTGTTTTCGATGGAACTATTGATTTCAACGGAATCTAAAACTTTAAATGGCGTCAAGACGAAAACACTTTGCTAGCAGTTTGCCGAAAAGACCTTTACGTCTGAATCTAAATACTATAAATAATGGCCTTCGATCAAAACGCGTTAGTTCCATCAAAAATCTCTATAGATTCTAACCAAACGCGTACAGCCTGCTCAGATTATTGGCGACACATTTGTTACAAAAACGAAAAAATTTTTAACTCAAAAGGGCGAACTTCATGGCAAGCGTTAAGAACGAAAAGAGAGGAGTGGGTAACAGGCATTTTCTTCCATCCCTCACCCCACCTCCCACAAAAACTTGCTGGTCGCCAAGCCACTCTTAACGAAGACCGCGTTTAATTTCAAAAGGTTCAACAATAAAATAATTATCATAAGAAGGCAAAGTTTACTCAAAATATTGGATCAATGGAGCCAAGGACATCATCTGCCGAAATATTGGCTCGCATGTTTGCATCCAGTCCAAGTTATGATCAGAACTCTTTTCCAGTATATTCGCACAGGAAATCCACTTTAGATGCCGACATTTTCTGAATATTTGCAAAGATTTTTTTAACAATTGGACCTCCATTCAGGAAACATTGAGTTGAAAAAAAAGGAGCCGGAAAATACTCTTTGTAAACTGGTGAGACTTCTAATGTTCCACGGCAGTCAGGAACCACGATTCTTGTTCAGAAAGTTAGCAACGATGCTGGGCATGAGATGCTAAGCATGACATAAAGCAGTGTAACGGAACGAGCTGTTGGACACATGAATGGATTCCTTTTTATAGTCCTAGACAAGAAATAACCGCATGGGTTTTTTTCCTGCAACATTTTTTATTTATTTATCTGTTTTTTTTTTTAAATTTAAATTTAAATTTTGTTTAGTGCTACCTTACTCGAGTGGACACGTGCGAAACACGTTTGACTATGCTTGCCTTAGGAAAGAAAATGTAAAAAATAAAAATTACCAATATAAAAATTAATTGAGCCACAAAATTTCCATCTTTGAGGGGCATACCGTGCACCTTTGCGGTACGTAGAAAACGATTTAAGCCAAACGTTCCTGTAAAGGACAT